CTACACTAACTCTTGAATATTTGTTTTGTATAGGAAAGGTTCCTGACAAGAGAATCATATATGTCAAGAGGTCAGTGGGAGTCTCAATTGTCTTGAAAAGTTTCAAGAACAAATCAAGAATAAACCGATAGTTAATCACTAGCACACGACTTGAGGTTGGCGACCTATCGTGTTGACATAATTTTGTTTCTGCGCCATTCCAGATGAAGTCAACTATGCAATATGAGTTCTATGAATTGATTGCATAAAGGCAAGGCACCCTAATCAATGGAAAGTACATTGATAGGAAAGGGTGAACTACTCAACGACCTGGAAGCAATGGTGGGCATTCGTGCTACCATGAGGCAGGAAATCAAGATTGAACAAGTTCAGTCCATATGAGTTAGATTTGTCACGAACATTGTCTTACGATTATTGTTATGACAAATTCAAATGGATAGGAACACATACACTTTAAAATCTAAGTGTCATAAGGTCTCCCTCCTTCATGAAAATGATTGTGAGGAAATGCTTTCACTAAGAGAGATTTTAAGAAGATAACAATTGTGATAATTTTATTCTCAAATTCAATTATGATTACGGCATCCCTCTTCATAGTTCGAATTGTGAGATTTGGCAATTAGTCTGAACATCTGGGACTTAGTAACATAAATTCTGAATTGTTTAGACACACATGTGAACTATCTAAGGAAAGGTGTATGAGCTTAAAAAGCTTAAATAAAGGCTTATCAAAGCATTAGGTATTAGAAATATGAACTTAAGGAATTCAATAAGCATTGTTTTCTAGAAGTTCAAGTGTTTTCTAAATACATGTCAAAGCTAGTGGGAGCATAAGTGTTATGCTTGTATGGAAATAATCATTGTGTTAGTGGGAGCATGATTATTATTTCAAGTATTGCGAGTTAGCAATATTAATTATAGAAAACAAAGATTAACTTTGCAAAGTTGTAGGGGTTGAAAAGTTGTTTTGCTATAATTAAGGGAGAGAATATTATACTTCGTTTCAAAATCTAAAAGCTTAGATAAAGAAATGTTAATAAAATTTAGTCAAGGATACATAACACGTTCTCAAAATTTGATTATGATTACGACATCCCTCTTCATAGTTCGAATTGTGAGAACATGACTAACAAAATATTATGGCAAAAGACTGATAAAGTATCATGTCTTTATGTGAGACATTATGCATCGTGTCCAATACGCTTCGGGTATAGGATCGATTGCATATGCTGTAATATTTGACCATTCTAAAATTTTCTAAATGCTTAGGGCATTAAGAGGGAAAAAGGGACTAGAATCGGTTTTGACTAAAATAATTAAACAACTATCAAAGGACGATCTGAGGTTCACTGAGAATTTGTCGCTTGTGAGTAGTTGGAAGTATAGTACTGGATGGACTATATTGACATTATTATGAATAGATAAGATTCTATTAAGAATGAGTTGTCATATGGCAAATATGGAAATGTTTCCATTAATGGGAGTTGGATATTAAGAAATATGTCTAGATTAGAAACTTTTATGCGAGAAAGATGTTCAAAGGAATGTAATTTGAATGTGAGACTTCACGTCTATGGAATTGTCTTGTAACAATTTCCGATAGAATACCTTGTAATTTCATTAGCCGGGTCTTGGTGACTTTTGTGCTATGACATATTCTAACATATTCTAAAAGTGGCAAGAATTTGGTATTCTTATACTAATAATAAGGATTGGGGATTGTGAAATGAGTTTCATTGGAAAAGTTTTTCAATTGATCTATTTCACAAAGTATGGACCATAGGAAACCAAAGTGTGCGTGCTTGGAGCATGGGACAATTGTGGTTATAATTCGAGTAATAAGTTGATTTTCTGAAACAGTAAGCAATGAATAATGAGTAATCAATATGGTGTTTAAATAAAAGTGTTTTATTTACGCTCAAAAGTTTTGGGGCCATATAGGATTAATATTATTATTGCGTTTCACTCTGCATGTTTTGACTTACAGAATAACTGGGTTATTCGAACCTCCACAGTCGGTCATACGATGGAAGTAGGTATGAAAGAAGATTGTCATGAATCTGTCTGCAGATTGTCTAAAGTGTTTAGACATAACACAAGTTTGCTGCAGAGTTCATGAGTGCTTTGATAAGATTAAAGTATTGGATTAAACCCACGCTCACTTGAATCACTTCATGGATTTATCACGGGTGATTAGTGAGACGATAACATTGTATATTCTTGAAACCGAGACGTGTGAGTTGTTATTTGCTAGTCGGTTGCACATTGATGATAAGTAAACGCACCAGTAACTTGGTGTTATAAAACTTATTGTTGTGTGTGATTCGATTAGTAGGTGCAAGCAACCATTTGAGTCGAAGTTTATCCATTCCTTTTACCCAAAGTGGGATAAAAGCGATATCTGTGGACCCCTCGATGATTTAGTGATGACACCTAAGCGCTTGGCCAAGCCGGGACTAAGTTGATGTGTTCAATTGTAGTCTGTTGTCAGTCGTCATGAATCAGAAGTCGGGAAATAATACATAGACAGAGAGAATGATTTAAATCCATGTCTCGTGTCTATACGATATCTTGAGAATGGAGGAATATACGATCCCTTATCTAAAGGACAAGTTACTGATCAGAGTTGACAGCGGCTTTTGAAATCTACGATTGCTGATCAGGTTCTGAAGTCATACGCAGAATAGTTATTAGACTTATCCAAGTGGGAGACTGTTGGATTAGTGTCTAAGTCCATAACTATTTTGGTATGTACTTGACCTGATTGTGAGCATGGTCCTTTTGGGTTGCCTTCACATTGGTGACTAGACAGGATGACTGTTGAGGAGAGAGGCTGGTTTATTGTTAAGAATAATAAATTGGGGTATAAATATGATTTGTTAATATATTATATGAATAATATATTAATTTGGAATCATATTATTAATTAGTATTTAATCAGAAATTAATTAGGAATTAATTTTGGGATTAAAGGAATTAATTAAAAGTACAGGGGCTGTTTTGTAATTATTTGATAGTTGAGACTTTGGGCTATTGGATCATCTTTATTAAGGCTTTAACGAAAATCCTAGAAGGATCTAGGAGTTTTCGTCCAAGGGCTTAAGGAAAGGAGTCCATGGACTTGCTTAGGCCCTAAGCTAAGGGATTAGGGTTTCCACCTTGAAACCCTAGCTAGCCTCAAGTATAAATAGCACCCTAAGGCACTAGAATTCGACCACTACTTGGGAAAACCCAACTAGGTACGAATTTTGGAGCTTAGTACTTTTCCTCCTCTTTCTCATATTCATCCTCTCACCCAAAGTGTGTTTGTGAGCCATTAGAGGTACTACACTTGTGGTACTTGTTTTCAAGAGCTAAGGAAACTCAAGGAATTAGTTGTTATTACTATATAACAACAAAAAGTATGTATTCTTTTCTCCTATGTGAATTTCGAAATTACTAGGAGCATGCTAGGTTTCCTTATGTGTTCATAATGTTGTATAACTAATAGTGATAACATAGATCCAACTTTAGAGTTGCATGCACACATAGGAATGTTTGTATAAAACCCCATCAGATTAGTCTCAATTTCATTATTGGTAGAGGATTTGAGTTCAAAATTTCATCAGATTCTTGTTGGGATATGTAGGGAAGAAGTTGAATGACTTCAGATGGTGGAGGATAGATGGAGATATGAGGATTTGGGTTGATTCCGGTCATATGGTGGTGCTAAGGGATTTCCACACCTCTATTTATCGATTTATTTCTTAGAAAAATCAATGACAGTCATCGACAGGAACTGGGGTTTCTATACCTTCGTTTTTTGTTCTTGTTCATCGGAAAAAACATGACATCAATGAAGATGGTTACCGGCGGATCGAGGCGGCCTACTGGTTACCGCTGGCTGCGGCGACATCCAAGAGGTTGCAAGCTATGGTAGCAATGGTGTCGATCGAACTTAGAGAAAGAGATGGAGAAGAAGGAAACATAAGGTTAGAAAACGTGGGGTTTGGGACATAGTGGGATGGGTTTTGGGGTTTTTTTATTTTTTACAATATAAATAATTAATAAATAATTAATAAAATGTTTTTTTAAATACAAGGGTAATACAGTCATTTCAGATGTAGCAGGGACCAGGCGGGTTACAATCTTTAATACCAAGGTCGTCCGAGTTAAAAATCTTGCTCAGTGACTAAGCGTGCAAGTTTACCCAAACCATAGGGACCATCCGTGTAATTTACCCTATTTACAAATATATATATATATATATATATATATATAATATATATATATATATATATATATATATATATATATAATATATATAAATTTGTTCATTTTTTGGCAAAATTTGTATATTCAAACATATAGATCGATGATAATTTACATGCATATGATTCATGATTCGTGACTCGTGAATATCTAGTGTAATACATTCATTAGGGAGGAGGGAGTCGTTCCTTTCCAACCCACCGAACCCACTGTCACAACAATTTTTATCTCTTATTTTTCTTCATCTTTCCCAACTCACAACACATGGAAATCCTATCTTTTTTCAACCTACTCAATTAAAAAAAATACAAAATAACTAAGGTATAAGTTTTAAAACACATGATACAAGAGAAAATGAGAGAGAAAAAGTAGAGAGAGATGATGAAGTGGGTTAGTGGAAACCAATTAACCAACTCGTTGAAGCGGAAGTGGTACCGCCGGTAACTCTATTACTAATTAAGATTTTACCTTTGATTGTTTTGTATTTTTTTTAATTGGATGAGTTGAGTGGGTTCAAAAGGATAGGGTTTCCGAGTGTTGTGGGTTGGGAAAGACGAAGAAAATTAAAAGAGAAAAAATGATGTGGGAGTGAGTTTTGGGAGGGAACGACTCCCTCCTCCCTTAATTGCTCAATGATAACAAAGGAATAATCCAAAAATCAAAAGTAAACCAAAAGCAGATGCTTGTATTGTATTATATGTTCAAGTAAATTCCACAAAATGAAGTTCACAAAAAGTACAAAACGAATATATGCATTGCACACCACTAGCTTCAACAAAACAAACCTTTTCCGCATTACAACTTCTAATACATAACGTACTACTCATTAAAGAACTAGTCTAGTTTACTTTTTGGGTCCAGCTTGTGAATTCTTGTAAGCATTAAACGCTATGAGATAAAGGAAAACCAGAGCAACAATGGCAACGATCAATATTACGTTGGCTTCCTTCCATTCTTTCCGAAGGTTCCCTAACACTCCCGCTTTACATGAGTCGCAATTGTAGCACAGTTGATTCGGGTCGTTGTTCCATATGATGCAGTCCACATCGCCCATCGGGTTCGTCGGATTAATCCACGTTATCGGATGCACGTATTGATACCCACACACTGTCGGAGGCTTACAGCATCCCGACTGAAAAAGAATAGAACTTTATAATCATATATATATATATATATATATATATATATATATATATATATATATATATATAATCACATCACACACAGACAAAAGAAAGATAATTACCTGAAGAGATGAGATACGTGCATTAAAGAACTGTGGTGCAGTGTAAGAATCGCGAACCATTTTGGAACAAATGGAAGATGAAGCCAAACACGCCTTTATACTCCGCCAGTTCTCTGGATCGGTGATATGCTCCCGGAGCCATTCCGAGTACCCCATGTAACGATACTCGTCATACTCCCGACCGGGAACGGAGTATGCGCCGGAAGGGTGGGTGACGATGAAGGCGAGTATGAGGAGGATGATTCCGGTGACGATGAGGGCGGCGTTGCAGAAAAGGTAAAAGGATAATAAGCCTTGGTTGTTCCAGTGAGCTCCGATGAAGCCGGTGAGAGCTAGGAGGAGGAAGAGGACGCCGAGGAAGATGATGGGCCAGGGGAGTGAGCGTATGCATTGGTTGTCGGGTTTGGAGGCGAGCCAGATGCCGGTGAAGATGATTGGGATTGAACATATGAGGGCTATGAAGTTTATGGTGGCTATTATGTTGTTGCTTACTGCCATGGCGGAATTTTAGAAAGTTGGAGAAGATGATTGAAGATGTAATGTTTGCTATGGGTTTGGGAACATATTCTATGCCCACCCATATAAAAAAAATATTTGGTGTTTGCTTTATAGATTCTGTAAGGATTATGTAGAAAAATAGGTAGCTGAATAGCTGATTATAAAATTTATAAATTGATTCTTTTCTAGTGTTTTTATATATGCAATGATATAAAAGATATAATTGGAAAGTGGGGTTTCTTGACTCTTGTCAATAGTGATTTAGTCAAATTTAGTCGTTTGTTGCCTAACATCACCATTGGTAAAGCACGTCCATGACTTGGCTTAACATGACCATGTTTAGATTATGTAACAAACAAATCAAAGATAAACCGAACACTTTGATTGTAGAGTTATTGGTTAAAATGAATACATTTGGAAAACATCTATTTGTCAAAGAACATTTCTTTTACGTATCAAAAATAACCGTAGCTTCCACGAATCTCCACCGTAAATTTGCAAGGCATGTATTTTACCAACCAACTTTATCCAGCATGTATATTTCGATTCACGAATATTTGTTGTTCTATTGTTTTAACTACTAAACATAATTGCATTAAAACGTGAGAAAAAAACTACACAGAACGCGAATAAGTTATGGCCTCACAAATCATTCAAGCACCATTATTTTCCTAACAACCACAATTGCATACTTGTGAACGATGTGTTGGTGATTTTGTATCATCAATGTGTATTTAAGTGTAATGGATTGACTTGTTGACCAAAAATCAATCTTGATGAAATTTAAACATGTGAGGAAGGTACGGAGTGCACACTTGTTTAAGTTCATTTAAGATTTAAAGCAGACTGTTATTTAGGGGCGAAACCCCTAAACGAACGGGGGTCTGGGGGCAGCGCCCCTGAGAGCGGGGTCCAAGGGGCGGCAGCCCCTGGCGGTAGGGATGAAAGTGAGTCCAAACCCGGACCGGATGGACCCGGACCCGGAAAACCCGGAACCGTTTAACGATATTTTTTAGAACCGGAAACCGGACCGGTTTATAGGAACCGGTTCCGGTTCGGTTCCGGGTTCGTTTCCGGGTAAAGTGCGTCTAGAACCGAAAAACCCGGAACCGAGTCAAATGGGTTTAGAACCGGAAAACCCAGATTTTTTTTTGTAATTACCTCAATCGCATAATCTTTCAACCGTTATAAAAAAATTAACAAACAAAAAATTACATTTAGGTTATTAGGTTATTGACGACATTGACTTTTTTTTTAAAAAGTAACTAGATATAACAAAGTTGGTTTAAAAAAATTACATTTTGGAGAAGGTACTATACGACATAATAATATATTAGCAACTTTCATTTTGGAGAAGGTACTGCACGACACCAATTCTGTTTTGACCTTGAACTTCTCAAGAAAGGAGACCATTGCTCGACAAGTTACAAAATCTTCACTCACGGGGGTTACCACATCTCGTGCAAAGGAACGATCTATCAAAAAAATGTTACAAAAAAAAAAATTAATATATCATTTTTGGGGGGCTGTAAATGACTCCGTATATATGCAAATAAGGTGTTTCCAAAGTCTATAACTATTGCCAAACAGTGAACTACAATTTAAAAAAAAATCAGCCCAAACGGACTCATAACGAAGTAGATATGACAGTTTAAAGTTAACGAAAAACTCTAAAATAATGCTGTAACAGATTCAAAACAGCTTTGATATATCATTTTTGGAGGGCTGTAACTGACTCAATACACATGCAAATTAGGTGTTTCCAAAGTCTATAACTATTGCCAAACAGTGAACTACAATTTTAAAAAAAAAATCAGCCCAAACGAACTAATAACGAAGTAGATATGACAGTTTAAAGTTAACGAAAAATTCTAAAATAATGCTGTTAACAGATTCAAAACAGCTTTGATATATCATTTTTGAAGGGCTGTAAGTGACTCAATACACATGCAAATTAGGTGTTTCCAAAGTCTATAACTATTGTCAAACAGTGAACTACAATTTAAAAAAAAATCAGCCCAAACGGACTCCGAATGAAGCAGATATGACAGTTTAAATAAGGCTAAAAATTCAGCAAGAATGCAGAAAAAAAAATTACCTTCCATTTCATACTCGTAGAAAGCTTTTTCTAAATCCACCGCGATCTTCAATAAGTCGTAAGTTGAGTTCCAACGAGTGGACCCATACCCGAAATACCTTCCATTTCATACTCGTAGAAAAAAAAATTACCTTCCATTAAACCCGGTTCCGGTTTTTTAAACAAAAACGGTTCAAAAACCCGGATTAACCGGACCCGTTGGACCCATACCCGAAATACCCGGAACCCGGATATGAGTAATTTTGAAACCCAATACCCGGATCGTTTAAGTATTTTCCGGTTATACCGGTTCCGGTTCCGGTCCGGTTTTCCGGTTTTATAACTCATCCCTACCTGGCGGGGTTCAAGGGGCAGAGCCCCTGGCTGGGGTCGATTTATTTGGGTTATATTGTTATATTAAAAATGCATTAGAAATCTGAATTTTGGAAATAAACCCGGTTTTTTACTTTGTTTTGACCCTTATATAAATAAGTCGGATTAGTGACAGGTTTCAGACATCAAACTGTTTTTTGTAACAGTTTTCAGACATACAACTGTCTGGTGACAATTTTCTGATGGAAAGGTTACTTAACTAATTTTTGGTCTTCATTTTGATGGTACACACGAAATTCATAACATCCAGATTCTCTGTTCTTGCTCTCATTTCTGAGTCTTATCAGATTAAAGGTTGGGAGTACCACCCAAATACTTTAATCTGAAAGTGTATACACAATTCTCAGAATTTCCAAGCCTTTTTCTATACCCCAATTTCTTACATGATGATCACGAAATTTTGCACCTATATAAGATGTCATGGTTGGCTAACGATTGCTATCAATTTCCTATCTCTTTCTATATAAGAAGTTGAATTTCAAGTGCTTTTGTCTCCTATAGGCCATCCAAGATGACCTCGAAAGAGAAAAGAATTGAAAGGTCTGTTGATACGAACTTATATCATTGTGACGAAAAATGTCATTGTTCCATTCTGAATATATTCTCTGGTGTCGGCTTGTGAGATGTTCATCATTCACGTTGGTGTTGTTTTCCTTAACACTACTTCGATACAAAAGAAATGGTGTTGCATGCTTATCAAAATGACAAAATCATATAACAAAAAGAAATAACCTAAAAGGTTAAAACCTACTCCACATAATCTTCAAGTAATAGTTACGATTGTCAAATTTACTTAAATATGAAAGCATATTGATTACTTAGTTGCAACAAAATTATGTTTCTTAACTGATGATCCCACATACGCAACAAATATGATGATCTTCGTTCTTTATTTTTGCGGTTCGTGATACCTTTTCCACAAAGCTTACAATTATTTTGTTAAAACTCATAAAATGAAGGTTACACGGAGATATGAAATTCCAAGAGATTATAGTTAAATTCTTAATTGTAACGATTAGAATGTTTATACTAAATCTATAATTGAAAATAACTTGAACGAAATTTGTATTTCTCATATAAAAATAGAAAAATAAATAAATTAATAAGTAGTTTTTTAAGGATAAGGATAAAAGGTTTAAAGCTTAAATTAATAACATAAGATATTTACAAACAATAGAACAAAATAATAAATAATAAAAATAAAAGTTAATAAAGTCAATAAGAAATAAGAGCGGGAAGATTAAAGATATACACCTATGAAAACCTTTCATGACCAATTATGGTTTGCTTTATGTACCGTTGTCTCACTTCTTTAATCATCTACGAGTTAGACAAAAAGTAAACACAAATGTCTAGTTGCATGTTATGAAAAAAAATTATATTATTAAAAGATATTTGATGTTATAAGTTAAGTTTCTTTTAAAAAGCAATAAACAAAATAGATAATGAGCATGTTATTTTGGAAAAATATAAGGAAATGAGCTTATTTTACGTATTTATCAATTTGACCATTATTTTTTGAAATTTGGTATTTTAACAACCTAGGTTAATTACTAAAATGACCTAAAAAGTGATGTACATGAAAAATAATCATTTATTATGTATAATAAATTAGCAGAATACAATTTTTTATATAACTGTTTTATGAATGCTTCCTAATGTAAGTTTTTATTTAACTAAACATGAATTTTATTTGCAAAAAATTAAAGATATTTTGGCAAAGTCTATTTTTCGACTTGAATTATAAACGTTCAAAATTGATCATTTTGTAATAGAACACCTCCTTATTGATATCCACTACAAGGCATCATCATTTTGTAAAAGAAATAGCATTTTGTGAAAAGATGCTTTTAAAAAATGGACGACACTAAATATTCAAAAATAAATTATATTGTAATAACGAGGGGAGTGGTTCCTCTGCTTGTTATAATTTTTGTTCTTTCATCTCATTTTTACCATATTATTCTAATTTTCTGTCACATTAGTGGGATGGTGCTATATTTCATTTTTTAAACTATTCAATTTAAATTAAAAACTTAAATTTCATTAAGTAAAATTCAAAATTACATAACAAGACCTTAAAGCATTAAAAACATAACAATGAATAACTATGAATAAAAATTATCCTTTATTTTTTTATTTAATTGCGGTTTTTACCATTAAAGCTGCTTTGAGATCGTTTCCGAAAATGTGACTCATGTATTGCATTAACAACTGCATGTTGAATCGGTCATTTTCATGTGCCTTGTGCGAACTCCATATGCTTTTTCAAATTCGTATTTAACTCCACAAACTCCACTCTTATATCTTGTATTTCATCCAAAGGGATGACACCCTGACAAATTTGACGGAGTAGCTCTTCCTTTTCTTTTGGATTTATCATTCCCATCAGACGAGTAGGTGGTTGAATTTCTAGTATGTCATCATCTTCGTTAATGTCATATCAGACACGAATATCCAATGATGTTGTCTAGTTTTTCCAACGAGTTTACACATCTGGCTTTTTTTTTTCAATATTCCAAAAGTCTAAATACTTGAAATTCTTCTCGTTTTCCACCCAGATAATGTAGAGTGCCTTGGATAAAATGGTTGTCTCACTTTTCCCTTGGTTGACCAAGTTGTTTGACAAACCGTGAAACTTTTGTAACAACTTTGTTTATGTTATTTCATTTCGTGCAAATTTGGTCTTTGCTTTGGATTGAAAAATAATAATAATAATAATCGTCTCGTTTTATTTCTTTGAGAAAATGTGTCCTATTGTGGATAAAAAAAGGTCTGCTTTTTGGTTGTTGCCGACCACCGGCTCCTCCGATATATCGATCCATGCATGAGCCAATGCAGTTTTTCTTGTGGCTACCATGCTTTAGATCCAGCCCTCCCTTTTCCTTTTTGGAGGTTCGACACTTTATTCGGTGTTGGTGATTTTAGTGTTATCAACATATTTTAGTGTAGTTATATTGAGATATGTCGGGTTCTATTTACTCACCGAGACTGGAGGTGCGGGTGCACATTCGGAGTGATAAATGTGAACTTAAGAATACATGGGTCCTGGGGTAGCGCCCCTGAGTACATGGTTCCAAGGGGCAGCGCCCCTTGCGGGGTCCAAGGGGTAGATCCGCTGGCAGTGGTTCCGCTATGTAGGGGAAGCACCCCTAAACAAATTACTATAATAGGAAAGAGTCCGGACATGCATTTTCCCGCCAAAAACAAATTGTGACACTATTATGATGTAAGAATTGGTTATGTCTAATAACCACATTTCTAACTAACATTTTTTGGTGCCAAAATGGATGTAACCACTTTTAACCAACTTTCTCTCCTGTATAAGAATATATGAATGTTCCAAGAAATATTCTCTCTATCTCATCAAACACAAAAAATCAAGTGACCTGATTTCTAAATTGTCATTCTTGGATTATCCCAAATCTGATTTCATGATACCCCGGCTATAGGATCGAAATCACAGATTTTGGAAACTGATTGCAATCACGATTCTGGAATTATCCGAGTTTATATTGATATTTTTAAGACCTAAATGTGGTTTTGGTTGGGGTTGGGTTTAGGTTTTGTAACACCCGGTTTTGAAAGTGTTTGATTGTGTCTTCGGAGGCCAAGGGTATAAGCGTAATCTGACGATTCGGTATTTTATGGGTCTTGGGTTTTATTCGAAGGTTTTAAGGCTTGGGGTGTAGCTAGGAGCGTAGGGATTCTTGCTACCTTTTTGTGGATATAAAGTTCGTCGTAAACGGACTTAGAACGAAGAAGTTATAGTACTTTGAAGTTGTTGGCAGAATTGGCCCCTGAATGGAAAAGCTTGCATTTCAGCCCATGCATGCAAGGTGGCAACTAGGTGAGTATGCCCAGCGTAAGCTGGGGTACGCCTGACATAGTGTGGATAAGTAAAAAACGGGAGGTTCAAGCAGTACGCCCAGCGTATTGGAATTACGCCCAACGTAGTGTCCAGGATCTTCAAACCCTAAATGTGCACTATTTAAGCAACCTAAGACTCAAGGCTCTTCATTCTTTCAGCCCCCCACTGCGCCTTAAGCCTCTTTTCGAAACCCTAGCCCTAATTGTGAGTGTGTGAGCTTGGAAGGCCATCTTTGAGTGTATTTTAGTGTTCTTGAAGAAGAGTGATCATCTTGGAGACTCATTGATCAAGGAAGAGCTTTTGGATCCAGGTTCCCCAGCTCATTTGCAAGTCTCAAAAGGTATAAAGTTTCTATCTTGCTATCTTATAGCTTAAGATCTAGATTAGGGCTTGTTTAGTGCTTCTTATGATCATATGGACTATCTTTTAGGAGTAGATCTGGGGTCCTTTGGTCAATCTACCTCATAAAAGTGTAGTCTTGATGAGTACTTTAACCTCATGCATGGATCAAGACCCTTGGCAAGGTCTTAATGGGTTGTAGGGAACATATGGAGCATGTAAAGGCATAAAGTTGGCAACTTTATGCCTTAAGACGTCTTAATGAACTGAGATCTGGAGTTAGATGTTGAAATCCCAAGTATTAAGTGCTTAATAGCCATTTGTGCATGACTGAAACCCTAGTACGCTAAGCGTACTGAAGGGGTACACTAAGCGTACTGAAGGGGTACGCTGAGCGTACGCACTCAGAAGGATATTGGGCTTCGTGTGGGCTGTAAGCCTTTCTGGGCCTTGACCAGTTTTGGGCATGGACTTGTTTTGGATTGGTGGACCAATTTATATGTTTTGGGCAATGATTGCTATGGTTGGGCCTTATTGGGCCATATGGCCCATTTAAATAGTTTTGAACATAGACTTTAGGCTCGTTAGTAAGGAGAGACTTTTGGGCCATTGTGAAAGGTCTTGGGCTAAGAAGGTGTTTGGACTTTAGGATAGGGTCCAATAAGGGTTTGGGCAGAATTTGGAAAATTGGGCCACTAATGGGCTTCTATGGAGTTTATGGTTTTGGACTCAGGCCTTATTTAAGTATCTCGTGGGCCAGGGGTAAAATGGTCATTTTACCTAAGTATGGATTATGGATCATGGTATAGAACCCAAGTGCTAATTGGGTGATATTTTGGTATTGATAGCTCGGGAGGTCGGAGGGGCAGCAACTAAGGAGTTCTTGCAGGAAGCTTCTGCATTTAAGGTGAGTTTTCTCACCATACCAATGGGTCTAAGGCACCAAGGCCGGCCCATTTATCTAGTTGTGATGATTGTTGCAAATGTGCTATTGATACATTATGTATTTATGTGAAGACCATGCGGGGGTTCCCATGACAAATAGTTATATATGCAGTATGCTAGTTGATTGTGTGGTATTTGGTATGCTAGTTGTCTTTGTGATACTTGCATGGAAGACCCCCCGGGGGGGGGGGGGGGTTCCCGAGGCAGTTGGATATAAGACCATGTGGGGGTTCCCATGGCAGTGGGCTAAGACCACGTGGGGGTTCCAGTGGCACCCGATGTAAGACCTTGGAGGGTTTCCAGGGCATCCTTATATGTTTGTATGTTTAGCTCATATGTTTGTACGTATAGTTTGCATTATGTCTTGTTTGGCAGGAAGACCTTGTGGGGGTTCCCAAGGCAGGAAGACCATGTGGGGGTTCCCATGGAAGATAAGACCACGTGGGGGTTCCCGTGACATTAGATGTAAGACCCTGGAGGGTTTCCATGGCTTCCTTATATGATTATATGCAGGGCTTATGTGGTAGAGATAGCTTTTACAGCTAATATGATATGTGTTATGTGGATTGTGCGTGGGGTATGCTCTGGGGGACTCACTAAGCTTTGTGCTTACGGTTTACAGTTTTGGTTTCAGGTATCATCGATTTGGAAAAGAAGGGCTCGGATTAATCGTAGTGCACACACCTATGATTTCCGCAATGAATGATTTTGGGATGAACTCTGATAAATGTTTTACTTAATGATGATATGAAATATTTGAAATAAATAGTATCAATGTTTTAACTATATTAAAAATGAAATTTTTACCCTTGATTTTTGGGTGTTATAGGTTTGAGTTGGGTGAATTAACTGAATTTTGGGATAAAAGTTGGTTGAGTTGCATTGGAAACTCAATATACATCAATTGCATATCGCCATACTTTGCGTTCGAAGAGTAGATAAGGTTGTCAAATTGTTCCCAGTAGATTGGGGATGAGGGATCATAATCGAATATGTTTCTAGTGAGCATGTTTGAGAGAATTATGGTTATTTGGAGAGTTGTTGAAGATATTTTTGAAGTGGTAAAATGGAATAGACGAGTATTATAAAATGGAATAGATAGCTTTTGTATTTATATGGGATTAAAAAAAATTAAAAATAATAGTAAAAAAAAAGGAGAAGAAATAAAAAGTGACATTAGGTTGCCAAATGCGGTATTTTCTTGTCACTTGTCTCAGCCATGAACGGAGTGTTTGCCATGACAAAAATTGGCCACCTAGGATGTGCCGTGTGAATGTTAATTCCAATCCTTGCAGCCTAAGATCCCAACTGTTTTGGTCATTTATTTGCCTCTTCCTTTGGAGATCCCGAGTTCTAATCTGGGTGTTGACGATTTCTATTAAATTTGTTATGCTAACTTTTACCATTAAAAAACAGAAAAAAAAAACAAAAAAACAAAAAACAAAAAACTATTATATCCCTACAACCAGATACATGAAGAAAAAGGTTACAAATACTTGGACTCTAATACATTAACCAAAAAGGGGAAAAATTTGGAACTTTCAAGGCGAACTCATTTACTCCAAGTCATCTTCATCTTCATCAGAATCAGGATCTTCCACTTCACTTGCACTCTCTGAATCATCTTTCTCAGATGAGCTGCTACTTTCACCAGATCTTGAGCCAGAATGATCCACAAGGACAAGATTACGCCTTTGAAACTTAACTCCATCTTTCTTCTTTTCAACACTTATTTCTTTTCGTTTCTTCCCACTTCCATTTGCATCAGATCGCATAGCACGTGCAGCAGCAACAAACACATCATTCATGGAATCATCAATCTTTTCATCTTCATTTTCATCATTCCCCTTATTATCAATGAAGAACTCTAGATCTTCATCCGTCTTCCCTGCATCTCCCTTATATGAGGGTTGACCAAAGTCTGACCTTGAACTATAAAGGACTAATTTTTCCCGATGCTTTGACATGAAACCATCACAAAAACTCAAACCTTGGCCCTCGAGTTCAAGCATCCACTCTGAAATATCATCAGTCAGAAAAAAAATTCAAAAAAAAAAAAATTCAACCATAGAAAGCAGTTAAGATGAATTACTTAGAAAAGCCATAGGTGATGATCCCTTGGGTTGACTTGTTCTTCCATGGTTGCCAAAGCTCACTTGTAGCCAATTTAGTAATAAGTGTAGGTAAATGAGAACCCGAGAATGCATTCGTATAAGAAATAGCCTTTGAATGATCCTTGTTTTTCCTACAAATATATGATTATAAAACATTTGATATTGGAGTTTAGTATATTGAAGAAAATAAAAAGATTAAATACCTAAATAACTCAATGGCTTCATGGGACACCATAATTATTGCCAAAATGTTATTCTTTATGTGGTTAGTAGGAAGATGGTTTACTTTGTGTATATGGAGGAATGAATAGTCAGGTAATATAACAACATCATATAACAGTTTCCTCAAAAATGATTCGTCTTCAGAACTCTGTAAACCAAATCATGTAGTATAATCATGTTATCAATGAATCAATTTATATAATCAGGTGCTTAAAGTTAGCATGATTCCAATGAAAATGACTAACCAATAAGGATGTCACTGTCAAATTCGGTTCCAGCAGCATCTTAATGAGCATATCTGAAACATAAAAGACACTAATTAACAAGAAAACAGATAGAGATTCGATATGTAAAAGAAAGTTTGTTGGGTATTTACCGAAGAAGTAAAAGCTATGAAATCCAGTTACGGAACAAACAGCCCAAGTCCTCAACTCATTCTGCACCTCCTCTTTTGAGCTCCCTTCACTTAATTTCAAACATAATTTCAACATAAAAGACTCCAAAATCACAGCTCCAGCCAGCAATCCAATAACACAGCTACTTTCATCTGTAACCCAATTTATAATTTCATCACTTAAAAGTGGGAAAAACTGCTTCAATCGATTTCCAGTAGCTTCACCATGCACCCAAATCGAAACCAGGTCGATTATCGGCCTAACTAGAGCAGAATCCTCGTCACTGTTTGATCCGTCAGAACACACGTTAAAGTACCCCAAAATTACATCGAGAAATTTACTAATTTCTCTCCTTGCTTTCTTTCCTCGCTTCGAATCTACTTCTTTTCTTTTCGAATCCACAACTACAGTATACAATTTAAAGATGACAGGCGCAATTAAGGCGATACAGGTTGAAGAACTACATGAAGCCGAACAAGCTGTTATTGATTGAAAAAGGTCCTTCACAGCTAGAACTTGATCCAAGATATCATCTTTTGAAGAAATTTTTGGATGAAAAGTTAAAACCGAAAAAATCCAGATACTTTCGAGAAGTGGGATAGGTTTAGCTTGCATTAATTCGAGAAATGTCGAAGTAAAGGAAGATAAATCAGAGCTAGGGTTTTGAAGCGAGTCTAAGAGGCTCTGGATCGATTGATTAACTGCTAGCTCGTATTCATCGCTTGTGAAGAACTTCAAGGTCTGTGGCTTGATGGGGTTTTGGGGATCGACCAGAGCCATGTTGTGAATTTTCAAAAGAAGTTAACCAAAAACCCTAGTTTGACGGAAGGAGAAAGGGAAAGGGCTAGGGTTTAAGGAAGTTTCCTCATCAACGGAAAAACAGTCTTTGAAAGTTTTGGATCATTTGTCATAACTACCCCCTGAAAGAGTAATATAATGACAAATCATAACCTCATATTGTAATAAGGAAAAGTACGGATATTTTGTGGCCATTAAGTAGAAAGGAAAAGAGCTATGGTTTAAATTTGCACATTAGGCTAATCTGATCCGGATCCGAATCCGATCCAGTTGAGCTCACGTCCTTTGTGATCGGATCCACCTCTAATTCAATCAGTTTGAATGTGATTTTAATCGGTTTTTGCACAATTAGTTTCATACCGATTTGATCTTATATGGATCCAAGCTAATCTGAAATCCGATTCAGCCCATCATTAAAATTTTAAAATCAAACGTTGATTATAAGAGTTTTGGATGCTAAAAGTAAACTAATAATAATAAAAGGTTTAGGCCATTTTTGGTCATTTAACTTTTGGTTTTTGTGTTCATTTGGTCACTTAACTTTTTTTAAGTTTTAAAAAGTCATCAAATTTTTGGTTTTGTGCTCATTTAGTCATTTAACTTTTGGTTTGGTCACTTAACTTTTGGATTTGTGCTCATTTAGTCACCTAACTTTTAAAATTGTGTTCATTTAGTCACTAAACTTTTAAAAAAATTTAAGTGACCAAACCAAAAGTTAAGTGACTAAATGAGCACAAAGCCAAAAGTTTGATGACATTTTAAAACTTAAAAATAGTTAAGTGACAAAATAAGCATAAAACCAAAAGTTAAGTGATCTAAAACCATAATAAAATGCCGCCAAAACATTTTTCCAAGTAGTATTCATTTTTGTGGTCTTCAACTTTGGATTCGCCCTTAGATTTTTTGTTTTTAAGCCTCCACGAATAGTGTAAGGGGTCTCTTCAACAACATTGTCCTCATATTCGTCTTCATTTTCATCCTCATCGTCGTTAATGTCTTTAGCCGGTTCTGGAGGCGGTGATAAACCTTGTTCCATTCTTATCACAATATTTTCCGGTCTACACTTTCTTGAGTGGTTCTCGAGTATTGACAAGTGTTGTATACATTCCACCAAATCCAAGTAATCCTCCAAACAGATACAAATCTCCACCTCCACCAAGGTAAGATTCGCTCTTAGTTTTAACAAAACCTACCCCTAAAAGAAAAAGCGGGTTATGAAGTTATCGTGGAAGTTGGACGGTTAATATTGTTAGATTAAGGTGTCTAAGATCATAACTAAATTGGTATAAAGTTGCAAATAGAAGCAAAATTCTTTTGGGTTGCCCTCAAAACTAGTAATTGTTAGAATGACTTTTGGAGAGAGATATTGATTTATTGGTTTATTATATGATTAATAAATAGCAATAAATGATTTGTTAATATATTATGAGATTAATATATTAATTAGAAATAATATTGTTTAATTAATAATTAATCAGAAATTAATTGGAATTAATTTTGGGATTAATTGGACTAATTAAAAGTGCAAGGACTGAAGGTGCAATTGTTTAATAGTTGAATAATAGAGAAATTCTAGAACTTTCCCTAGAGGGGATGTAGAGGGGTCTTCTATGGTTTCTAGAAGCCTCCTAAAGGATAATTAGAAACTAGATAAATACCAGATTTGAAATAATATTAGTTTATTTCAAATTAGGGTTTCTTGGGTTTCCATATCACCTATAAATAGGACTTTTGGTATCCTCATTTTCGTGCACTATCATAACCTAAGGATAGCCGAAATTTCACATCCGTCTCCTCTATCCTCAAGTCATATTGTTACTAGGGTTTGGGTACAAACCATGAGAAACATTAGATTTCTGGTGCTTGCTTTCCAAGGATTTTGAAGAAAGAATTGAATTGATTATTTGCTATAATAATCAAAAGGTATGTAAACCCTAATTCTATGTTTATTTTGATTATTATAGAGTTCCTTTAGGCTTTTTGATGTTCATAGTTTATTGTTATTAATAGGGAAAACATAGATCAATATAGGTTGCATGTGAACTTAAAGTTAAGTAATTTTCCGCCCCATGCATAGATTTATAACCTATAAAACCCTTCAAATATATCATAGGTCATGATGGAGAGAATTGAAAATTATGCTTCATTTTCTCTCCGCTGATCGGTCTATTTTAGGAACATAATAAACAATGCTAAATATGTTGAATTGATGTATGTTTGCCCAAGAATGACACTACTTTGATGAATTGTTGAAAATTATGTGCAAGTAATTATATAGTACTAAAAATGGATGGAACATGCAAGAAAAACGAGCAAAAGGAAGCTAACAAGCATGAGGACAAATTGCGCAAAGTTGTGAAGAAAAATGTTGTTGGGAATGTCGACCACTCTTCCTTGTTTTGATCATATCTCAAGATCTGGAGCTTCGATTTACCTAAATCAATAATTTTTGGAAATAGACAAAATTTTCCACAACTTTCATGTTTTGTGTTTCTGCTGATTCTGTTGTTTTCATCACCAAAATGTGCATGGAAGATGAAGGATGTCCATCAGGTGTCAAGTACGTCCCCAAGGACGCCTACCCTTTTTAGGCCATTTTCTAGTGCAAATCAAGGACTAACAGAGGCATGTAAAACGCCACGAAGAATGCCCAGACGTCCTAAATCACGTCAAGGACGCCCTCTATGACGCCGATGCGGAAAAATACCCCGAAAATCAGTTTTTCAGCTCCTATTTAAAGGGGACTAAACCCTAATCGACTTTGGACCCCCCTGCAATTTTCCCCAGTTTTGGAGGGTTCCACAACACATTCCAAGCTTCTCCAAACGAGATTTTGATCATTCCATTCCGAATCCAAGGCGATAAATCATCAAGTTCATCATCACTCAACATTTGAAAATCGTTCAATCGGTGGATCTTCATCAATTCCATCAAGTTCTAGATTTGGTTAAGTTATCCCCAAGGTTTCATCGTTCCATAATTGATTGATCATTAAACTTCATTGGTTTTATGATTTCAAGTTGGTTTATGAATTTTAGTACGAGTTTTATTGTTTTTATTCAAGTTATATTCAAGTTATATGTTTTGTGAATTTCACGGAAATTGAAATTTAAATCAGTCAATTGTTAGGAAAAACAATCTAAACGAGAGTTGAATATCTCGCCAATACCTATTCGTCGATATAAAGACAGTCGATAATGGATATTATATGAGAAAGTTATGATTTTTATACGAACTTTAATAGTCTAAGCCTGTTAAAAATATAACTTTAAAAATAAAGTATGAATTAGCCGACAGAATGTAAACGAAAATTGTAGTACTTGTCGATAGCTACATGTGGATATATGTAACGCCCCGATTTTCAGGTATTGTTTAAATAAGGTTTTTGGGTTAAGCTCTACTCGACGAGTTGGTTGACCTACTCGTCGAGTAGCAGCGGGGCAGGATCGTGTGTTAAGTGACCTACTCGACGAGTCCATATTGGGACTCGGCGAGTAGGAGCTGGCAGATGAAACCCTAAATCCCGGGGTTTGCACCCCTATTTAAAGGAACCTCAGCCTCCTTTGGCCTCTTTACAGTCTTTGAGAGCCCCTTAAAACCCTAATACGTGTGTGTGTGCCCATTGTGTGATTGAAGCTTGAAAATAGAATCTTTGGAGGGAGAAGGCTTAGAGGAGAAGGAGATTGGAGCAAGTAGAGTGTGGAAATCAACTCTTATCTCAGTTATCATCTTCTGGAGGTAACCAAATCACCTTTTCCTTGTGAATCTCTTCTATTGGTTGAGTTTTAGGGTTTTGGTGAGACATTAAGTTGGAAAGATGAGCTATGGGCTAGATCTGAGATTTTGACTTCAGATCTGGACCCTCCTTGGATTCTATAAGCATAAAGTTACAGTCTTGGTCATGATTGAGGTCCCTTTTGAGCATAAAGTTCCATTAAGAACTTAAAATAGGCATTTAGAGCCTTTATAGCCATGCATGCACATAAAGTTTGCAACTTTACGTGGTAAGCATGACCTAGAAGCATGGATCTGTGATTTGGAGCCGCTGCATGGCTCAAAACAAGTCTGTATGGAAAAGGGACTGAATGGACTCGGCGAGTCGCAAGGTTGACTCGGCGAGTCACAAGAAGATGGCCGTGGACTCGACGAGTTGGATGAACAACTCGGCGAGTCCGATGAATATTACCATAAGACTCGACGAGTTGAAGAACAACTCGGCGAGTCGGATGAGTTTTCCCTAGGATATGTATGCGTGTGTATCCGTCGAGTTGCAAGGAGGGAACTCGACGGGTGGACTTAAAGTTGGAACGAGAATCGAAGCAACTCGACGAGTCACCCCGATGACTCGGCGAGTTGGATTGTGCTTCAAGGAACTCGGCGAGTAGCCGAGGGTACTCGGCGAGTTGGGGTCAACATGGACTGTTGACCTTGACTGAGGACTTTGACTTTGACCAGGGGTTGACTGGTGGGTTATGGAGTACCTTATAGAGTTAAGGACTTATGAGTATATTGTACTATGGTCATAGGTGGTGGAGCATGTGTCAAGTGATCCGGGAGTTGGAGTTTACCTTTCGAGTCGACATCTGCGAGGTGAGTTATCCTCACTATATCGATAGGGTCTACGGCACCAAGGCCGACCCTTTAGTTGTTATTGTTATGGTATGCTACATGTGGATTTGATCTGCTAGATCGGAATCAGGGTAGACAATATGTTATGCTTTTATGATCCATAAGGATTGGTATGTTAGTGACCTGCTAGGTCGGTACTCTCGTTACGAGAGGATTCTATGATTGATGATCAGTGTGACAGATATGTTTGATGTTTGTATATGTCAGTATGTGATAGTTATGCGGACATGGTTATTTACTTGTTGGTTGGGTTGAGGCGGTCCTGCTTTGTGCTGAAGGCCAACATACCCTATGAGCGGTCCGGGGAGACTGCAGGCCCACGAGGCGGACCAGTCATGCCGAAGGCTCGGGATGGATTCAGATAGACTGTAGCTAGTAGGGCGGTCCAGTCAGGCCGATGGCCCAGTATGCATGTTGATTGATTGATTGATTGACTGATTGTTGCTGACATGGTATTGTCAGGGTGGT